TAGGGAGGGAGGAAGTGTGGACGGGTGATGAAATCCACGTGAATTCCAATGGAATGAGTGGGGTCGGTTTAGGGAGATTATAATCTGATTTTAGACGCGCTTCGTGAACATTAGGGAGGGGGGCGGGTCTGCGTGTGTGAGAGGACGTGTCTGTGTATGCCTGTTCAAGATGGACGAAAACAAAACAAGCAAAGCGTCTGGCGTTCTCTAAGTCCGTTCATGCTGTAGCCTACGGAAGCACCGCCGCGGCGGCGGCGATGACATCATCAGCGTGTGTAAACTGCTTTCTGTGTCCCTCCTGTCAGCCTCACACATATGTCCAAAGACGGATCCAGGGAGCGAAGAACCGACGACACGGCGGTCCATTAAAGCAGCCTTCAGAACGGAACCCCATCATCATCACCACCAACCGGGCCTTTCAGTTAATCGAAAATAAAACGTTTGTCGTGGTTCCAGATGACACTACCCCTTCAACGCCGGCTAGAAGCGCTTCCTGTGCTCCTCTAAGCGCTTTGGGTCGGTTCTGATCGGCTCAGCGAAGGCAGCCATCTTGTTCTAAACCGCCTCGGGTCCAAAAGAATCGGAAATCCTCTGTAAACAAATGGGTTCAGTCTGGTTCTGGTCCGGTTTCAGATTCTCCTGTCAGCCTAGAAATGAAGATCACATTTATAATAAAAAGAAGAAAAAAAAACTGCAAAATTAGCAAATTTATAAAATAAATAAAAATAGAAAATCAGGAATTTCTCTTCCTGCTTAAAAATAAGTTTATTTCAGTTAATTATAAAGTTTATTTTAATACAGAAACAAATTTAAACTTGTTCATAATTCATTTTTTTTTATTCACTGACATTAGATCTGTTAAAGTTCATTAGTTTGCTTCTTTTATTTAATAATTTTCCTTCTTTTCAGACAATCAGACACAAATAAATAGAAAATAAATGTAATATTCAGCCCACAGACTGATTCACTCTTTGTTTTGATGTTTTAACGCATCAAAACAAAGAAACAGAGAATCTGATTCGATTTTTTTAACATTTAAGCTGCAGATTAAAGTAAATCCAGAACTTTTGGGTTTTATTGGAGCGACTATCCGGGTTATCAGTGTTAGCCAGCCTGAGTTCAGCTGATCTTAGTCTGCAGATTTAGTGAAAAGAAAAAAAGCTTAGAAAGCAGCAACAGGTGTGGGAGGGGGGTCAGGACCCCCCTTTAAACCAAAGAGGGTTTTTTTTTTTTTTTTTAAACCTTGGTTCTGTTTACCGGCCCAGACTCAGTCTGAACCCGTAGATCTAAGTTGGCTCTATGCGGTTCTATTCTGTGATTCTGGACGGATCGGCGCTAACCGTTCCTCCTCGTCGTTTTTTCGAGACGGGACATTTTGCTGTTAAAATATTTGGACCGTAACCTTTGACCCGGGGATAAAAACACGCAGCTCCACCTGAGGAAGACCTGCATGATCTGAACTTCAACCTGCCGATCGGAGAACCACACCAGAACCTCAGCGCTGCGCTTCCAGTAAACATTAAGGACTCCATTTTATTTGTAAGAGATGATGGGAATTTCCAGCTGGTTCTGATCCGGCCCTTAGTTTGGACTCAGAACAAATGCTGTTTTTTTTTTCTTTAGAAATACTCAATCTAGCATAAAACGTATTATTGTAGATAAATCAAAGCATGAAGGACGAGGCCCATGTTCTGTTTTGTGGGGTTCATGAATGGATGCTAACGGTCAAAGGTAACAAACGCGATCTCTCTCTCTCTCTCTCTGTATGTGAAGGCAGTCTTTACTGATCGTTGTCCTACAGCATCAACATGATCTTAGACTATGCTGTGCTACATTAAATATCAGCAAACTTTCAGCTCCCTGACTCTGTGTGCCTTCACATCTTTGTCGCACATCCCACTGAACACACAGCCGCATCTCAATAAACCAGAAAATAATCCCACTTTGTTTTCCTCCGCTTCAGTTCTGAAAGGGAAGCACTATTTGGATTCATTATTATTTTTTTTTTTTTTAGGATTGTCTCCCTGCTAATAGAAACCAATAGTTCAGTGACTTCGAACAATGATAAACAATAAAATTCATTTTGTTACAGAGATGTGGACCTACTATGTGCTTCATGCTGCCTCTACTCTGCTCCCCCTTCCATAGAGCAGGGTTGGTGGTTATCC